ACAACAATCGTGCTAAGCAAGCTTCCTTTGATCGCTGAATGCTGGAATGACCTGAAGGTCTCATCATCATTCGCTGAAGCTTGAGCAGTCTTCACACATATGTAGACAAATTTGTAATCACTGAATATCGCTTCAGATCACGTACTCGTCAGTTTCTATTCTTCAGTTTCAGTCTTCGACGTTTGCTGAAGGTTCTTTGGTGTGAGTGTTGTCTTCTTGAAGTATTGCTGTCTCTGATAGAATTACAATGCAAGTTCTTCAGCGATCACTGAACATGCTCAGTGAAGATTGCTGGAACTGAAAAGACAGAAACATAAATACAACGTATAAGTGAAAAGGGATTATCATCAAATCACTGAGAGAGATGATCAACAGCCTTGAAGATTCCTCACATCCATTAGGCAAACAAAGTGGATTAGCGTCATTTAGAATTATCTTGTATAACCAGTTTAGGGAGCGCCTCACCTTCATTAGAACTTCCCAGCCTTATCATAAATCCATAAATACGAACCAATCAATAACACCTTATCTCCATCTTCTGCAAGTTGTCCCAAACTTTTGATGTTATTTCATAGGCTCGGGATATGGTACACGTCACGTAACGCCCGTTTCTCCCCATTTTTACACATAAAAATGATGGACCATTTTTCTTCTATTTGAACCTTTGAGTCATCATCGAAATGGACATAACCCCGGACGGACTGATCGAGATCGTTGAACTTCCCCTTTATCTCCCATCATATGATTACTTGCACCGTTATCTAAATAACAGACCTTCGATACGTTGCCTTCTTCATTCGAGGACCTTAACTTTGGGGTTAACTTCTTCTCATTCAAATAAGCCTCTTCTCTTACCTCACGGGTGGTGTTTGAGGCAGCTAACAGAAGTGCCGGTTCACCGTTATTTTGTGTTAGGTTTGTCTCTTGATTTCTATTCCTCTCTCTCCATGGGTTTTTACATTCAAATGCAAAATGGCCAAAGTCTTTACAATTAAAGCATTGAATCTTACTTTTGTTACGATTACTTGATGACCCACGATCCCCGTCTCGGTTTTGTTGAGAGCCACCACCACGACGTCCATCCCAATTGGAGTGGCTTTTACCCCGTCCACGTCCTCTTCCATGACCTCGTGAATTAGAGTCACTCGATCGTGAACCACCCTGGGAGTTCTTTCGCTCATCGTCACCCAGTCCTGATGTGTTAACAACAACTTCCCATCACTGCTTTCACCTTGCCCGCGTACTCTTTCTTCGTGTGCCTTTAATCGACCTATGACCTCCTCAACAATCATCTTTTCGAGATCTGCAAACTGCTCTATGGTTGAAGCAATGTGTAAGAACTTTCTCGAGACAACACGTAGTAACTTTTTCACAACATAAGTCTCATCCACCTTCTCACCTAAGGCTCGAATATTACTGTCTATGTTGTTCACCTTCATAGCAAAATCGTCTATTACCTCCGTTTCCTTCATGTTGAGTGTTTCGAATTCCACCTTCAAAGTTTAGACTTTCGCAGTCTTGACTCTATCGGCTCCCATGAACATGGTCTTCAAGGTACCCCATGCATATTTCGTTGTTTGCTTCTCGGCTAATGACAGCAGCAGGGCCTTCGGAATCCCTTGATAAATGGCTGCAAGTGCCAATTTATCCTTCTTCACATAGACTGCTGTATTTGGAGTCCTGGGTTAGATACCTTCCCATACTCCCTGGGCTTGCATAAAGACTCTCATTTTGATAGCCCAGGTGACGTAGTTGCTTCACGTCAACATAGGGTAGTGAAGGGTGATCGAGTTCTCCTTCTTGTTCTTATCGCTTTTATCTGCCATCTGCTCGGGTTTCGGGTTGTTCTTGCATAGAAACCACGCTCTGATACCAAGTGTAAGTAGAAAATTGGATCAGATCACAAAAACACACTCATGATAACAGTTAATGGAGAAGAAGATATGGGGCAAAGTTTTCTCTCTAACATTTCTGCACACACTAAAAAAACAGAGTGAATTCCTTAAATAAACTAACACCAAAGAAAATGGGAAACAAACTTCTACGTTTCAACTAAGCTAAATACTAGGAAATAACCGGCCAACATGGCCTTTGATTCAGACAACTAAAACATGCAAAACAAACAAACAACCAACTGCTCAGATTCTGAATTATGCCAACAGGTTCTCTCTATTCCACCCTCCCGCTGTTCGACGAAATGCCACACAGAGATTTTGTTACATGGAATACGATATTGGCGGCCTATGCTTCCCGCTACGATTCCCACTTTGGAAATGTAGAAGAGGGTTTGATTCTTTTTAGGCTTCTTCTCAGATCATCTGATGTTTATTTTACGAAGCTGACTTTAGCCCCTGTTTTGAAGTTATGTTCTATGTCGAATTATGCTTGGGCTTCAGAATGTGTTCATGGGTTAGCCGTGGAAATTGGGTAGGAATTGGAGGTGTTTATTTCTGGAGCTCTTGTTAACATTTATATCATGTCTGGCAAGGTAAGGGAAGCGAGGTTACGACAGAGTATGATCTGGACGTGGTCTTATGGAATATGATGCTGAGAGCGTATGTAAAAATGGGAATTGAAGAAGCATTCCATTTTCTATTAGATTTTCATCGTAGTGAGGCTGTATGTCTGGTCTGCAATGTGTTTTTAGTTGCTTTCCTGAGGATGTTGATACGTACGCCAAGTATAAGGAGCAAGTACAAGCATATGCTATGAAGTTATCTTCGACTGGCTACAAATTTGCCAAGGTAGTCTCTTGGAATAAAACTATGTCCCAGTATTACCAAATTGGTGATCATCGGTCTGCTATTAATTGTTTCCTGAAAATGAATAGGTCAAACGTAGAGCACCACGATGTGACATTCATTGTGTCTCTTGCTACTGTAGTGCCATTTGATGATATAAGGTCGGGGGAACAGATTCATGGTATGGCTTTGAATTCCGGTTATGATATAATTGTTAATGTTTCCAATGGTCTTATTTGTTGTTCTTTTCCTTTGTTCTTCGAAACCACAGTGGGTTTCGGTCCTGAGGCTTCACCATCGTGATATCCACGATCAATACTCTTGGAACCATTAGTCCCCATGATTCACATGTAGCAATACACACCCACAGAAAAGATATAGAACTAATTGAGTAGGATGATAATAGAGAGAATACTTTAGAAAACCATTGTTTACAAATGACAACCGATTCATGCTTATAAAACAAATGAATCGGTGCCTTGAAGGTACACGACGGTTGGCAGAAAATTGCCGTGAGAAACTACTTTCGGTGGTTTTGATGAGGTGTCCCATGACCCTCTTAATTTTACATAAATCTAATTAATCTAAAAATATAAATCAACAAATGTGTTTGACATTTAATTCCAACATTATTAACATGCACTTGAAGATGGGTTGCTTAATGTCGACGAGGAGAGTAAGTGGAAGACTCTGTGGACTTGTATATAGAGCTGTTACGGAATGGCCAAAGGCTTGAGCATTTCACATTGGCAAGCATATTAAGAGCATGTTCTTCAATTTCTTCAGGGTTACATCTAATTGAGCAAATCCATGCTCATGCAATGCAAAGTGGACTTCATATGGACGCCTTTGTTTCCACAACGCTTGTTATTTCTTACTCTAGGAATGGAAGAACAGAACAGGCAGAGTTCCTTTTTCTTGACAAAGATGAATTTGGTTCGGCATCATGGAATGCCAGATGAGTATACTTTTGCTACCCTGATCAAAGCCAGTTCTTGCTCAACTGCATTAGAACAAGGAAGACAGATCCATTCTAATGCTATCAAGTTCAATTGTGGTGTGGATACTTATGTTAGCACTCCACTTATAGACCTTTATGCCAAATGTGGCAACATTGAATAATCATATTGGTATTTCAAAGAACTCATCTCCAAAATATTGCTCTGTGGAATGCCATGTTGATGGGTTTAGCTCAATATGGATATGGCAAAGAAGCTCTTGCTCTTTGAAATCTGTTGGTCACATTTTGCCTGATTGAGTCACCTTTATTGGTGTGCTTTCAGCCTGTAGTCACTCTGGTTTGGTGTCAGAAGTCTATTCATGTCTCCAGAAAATGACCAAAGATTATGGTATAGAACGAGATCGAGCACTATACTTGTCTTGTGGATGGTCTTGGCCAAGCTGGATGTGTTCATGAGGCAGAGAAACTGATTGCATCAATCCAATTTGAAGATACTGGTTCAATGTATAGAAGCCTGCTTGGTGCTTGCAGGCTTAAAGGGGACACGGAAACTAGAACACGTGTAGCGACAAAGCCTCTGAAATTGGAGCCCTCTGAATCATCAACTTATGTTCTTCTGTCCAATGTGTATGCTGCTTTCAAGCAATGGAGTGAAGTGGCTGATGCTAGGAGAACTATGAAGATGAAGAATGTAAAAAAGATGCAGGGTTTAGTTGGATTGATGTAAACAACAAAGGCCATGTGTTTGTTATGGATGATAGATGTCATCCAGAACATGAGATTACATATGATAAGGTGAAGAAACTGATGAAATTGATAAAAGAAGATGGATGCATCGGTCCCTCATACAGACTATATGCTGCAAGGTATGTGATATATGAAATCGTACTAGGATGTTCTGAAAAATTAAGGATATATGCGGGTATGTACGTATATTGTCTAACAGAAAATGGTAAAATATATATATCATAGAGGGATGCATTTATATATGTATGTCTAAGCGTCTAATATCAAACACATAGAAGAACTACGTCATTTTCTTTTGTTTGTATTAGCGTGTTTACATTAGTTGGAAGTTTTATAAAAATGTATATGGAACTCTAATATTACTATATTAGATTCATGGAAGGTTCCTATATTTTGTTACCCTATGTTGAGTTTGGGGGAGAAGGTGTTCCTGAGTGAGTTCATGCAAATCTATGACTTGTATTCTTCGCTGTCTTTTCTTGTTTTCTGCTTCTTGATACCCTTGAAGGAGCTTTCTCTTTGTTGCTTCAAGTTTCTCTTCCATTCTCATAATCTCTTTGCTTTCTTCTTCTCTTTCTGAAAGTTGGAACTTGTTTGCTGAGTGTTTCTTCTTTCGGACCGTCGACGTTTGCTTCTTGATTGGTGCTGGATTTATCATGTTCCATTCCTCACCACCTTTAGAAGTAGACATGTTTTCTGTAGCATTGAACCACTCATCCACCACACCTTTCCAGATTCTGACCAGCTTCTTTGCAATCTGGCGGACGTCCCTGGATGCATGCTTTTGAAGAGCACCAACAGATTTTCCTATTCCTGTTGCTTCCAAAGTTTTGAAAGACAAACCCAGGTGTTGAAGCTTTGATAACGACTCATACACTACTGCTGCTACTGATTGGGATTCATATGGAGTCTTGTCAAGAATCTGTTTGATCTTCAAGACCTCAGCAACTATCTTCGTTTCCTGTTTGATTTCTGGTTCTCCAAGACTAGTGTAAATGCTGGCATCATCTTGTTTCATAGAGTTGATCAAGTGACATGAGTAAGTAGCATCCATCTTCAACTCTTCCATCAGATGATTAATCGTTTCTGATTTGGATGATATATATATACCCACAAATCAACAACTTCAACTTGAATATATGAAAATTAAAGAGAAACCTTTGGAAGCTATTTGTTTGATGATCTCGTATATATATAGGGTTTTGTGCATATATAGAAAAGATATTAACTGCATAACTAATCCTTAGATATAGATATAGATATAGATAGATAGATGTATGTGATATATATGTTGGTGTTACCTTAATTAGGATTTATGCGTCATAGAATCCTTAATGACTTATAATTACAAGTATATATACATTTTAAAAACTTGTTTCCTTATTTGAATTCTTGAAATTTATCTTAATTTCCATGTATTTATCTCTCTCTCTCTCTCTCTCTCTATCTATTTTCAAGTTAGCGGGTATTTTTGGAGTTAATTATATATATATATATATATATATATATATATATATATATATATATATATATATATAG